GCCATTAAAGTAGCAAGAAATAGAGCGCACTGAAATCATGGCGTATCATGTGATCGAATAAATAAATCAAAATATCTGTTTTGGGGTTTTTCCCCCTTAACTAATTAGTGGTGTATATATAAATGTGCTCCCTGTTAGTCATGGCAGCTTTCCTCCAGAGCTCAATATATTCATTTGTGTGATCTGTAGTGCTTAGTTTTGTCTAATCTTTTTGCATGTGTGAGAGAAACTTCTATAAAACTTTAAAATCTGAAAAAAATAGCAAAGCATTGCCAAATAATAGGAGGCAAGTAGTTTTAATACCAGCCAAATGTAAGCATTGTGATTATTTTGAATGCTGGCATGTGTAAATGGCAACAATCTTCACTATCTCCCCTCCTCCTGGGGAAGGATTTAACTCCATAGTAGGATGTGCTTTAAAGGCTATTTTCATGCATTTTGATACAACAAAATAGGTTATCACATTAGAAATGGGCTGACACAAGCTTACAAGGGCCAATGTGTCGTGTCTCCTACATGTTCTCTTGGCACTGACTGCTGGAGCTGCCGTGAGCAAATGGATTGAGAGAAGTGAGGAAAAGGAAAAGCATGCAAAGATGACTTGTTGACCAGTTTACACAGTTGTTCCAGGATTGCTTTCTTTACAAAAGCACAGGAAGCTTAGAATAACTGCCATCTGAAATTCTCATGGTTATATGAATTTAGAAGTTTGTAGAGTGGATGTAGTTTTCTTTAAAAAACAAACCAAAACCCTGCCATCTTCGTCTACGTACAGACACCCATATATGTGAAATCATCACAGTTGATAACTGCTACACATTTAATTTAGATTTACTTATCAAAAATGTTGATGTTGGTCTACAAAAAATAGAGGTATGTATAAGCAATCTAGTAACAAAGCATTAAATTGCGGTGTAAGAATCTGGGTGTAAGGGCTTTCTTAGGGAAAGTCCTTGATTTCAGTGAATTTAATACTGGCCACTGCAGTACATGTCTGTACTTACAGGTCATTATAGAGGCAGTGTATTTTCCATTAATATATTAGTATTTAAAATACAATTTGTTTGCAGTCATAATAAATATTATGGGTTTACATATGTAAAAGACTCTGTGGGTTAAGCCTTTAAAAGGGCAGATCTTTCTTTTTGTGTCCTTTTCCTGTAACTTTCTCTGCCTCTCGCCCCTTGGCAGTTTCTGCTGTACCCATGTTTTCCTTCTATATGAAATTTTGATAACTCTCCATACTTCGTGTCCTTCTGAAGTTAGATTAAAAGACTGTGCTTAGTCTTAAAAAGCAGTTTATACAGCAACTCTCTCTGTAACTAATACCTTATGATACTCCACAAGTGTCAGTACATTAAATGTTTCCATTCAAGGTACTAGAATGTTAACAGCTTTACTCTCCTTGAGATGTCATAATGCCGTATCTGGTATTAACAACTGCCTGCGTAACTTGCTGTATGGCTTTCCTAGAAAGAATCTGCTTGCAGCTCAATCTAGGGATTATTAGCTCAGGCTATATCAGCCTTCATTTTTGCTTCAACAGCTTCAGAGTTCAATCTCTGGTATGTCAGCAAATATGACAGCTGTCACAAATATGCTAGGTTTAAGATAAGATACCTATTTTCAGATCTGCTAACAGTCAGGTGTTGGAATTTGAAGTAGTTCAGATTTCTAGTAAAGCAGATAATGTGTTTTAAACTATTTACGCTTTCCCCAAAACTGCAGATTTTCTGCATAGATTTTTGTTGCCTCAGTTGGAAGAATCCCCCAAATTGAGCTTATTAGAGTGTGACCACTTGAGTGCCTCTCTAGAAGCAAAGCTTTTTCTTTGCTCTGCATTTCCACTCTGAAGATCTATCACCAGAACTGCTGCTTCAGATACACCCTCTGGGAAATCAATAATAAATCGAGTGAGATTCAATGAGATTCATTGATGTATCCAGGTGAGGTTGCCAAAAATCTACAAGAATAAGTTGTTGATTGCCAGGATGGCAGCAGAGATCTGGCTGTGGTGGTATTCGGGCTGATTTGATACACTCACCTACAGCATTTGGTACCCTGGGTGCTAACTCAGCAGTTAGTTCCCTCGGATACTACATGGCTGTATCTACTCATGTTTAATGAGATTCAGGTCAAACACTGGAAGTACCACACAAAAATATTTTCATCTTGTGCTTTATATAGTTTTAACTATATTTGTAGAATTATTTCATGCTTGGATTGGGTGGTATGGATCAGAATAAAAAAGATTTACTTGCTACTGGATCATCTTTATGACTTTTGGTGGCCTACAGTGAAATGGGCTGCTGGAAGTTGGGGAAGTAACAAGTGCATGCATCAGGAACTCACAGTGGCATAATTCGGAATATTTGCCCACTGAGTTGATACCCTCAGCAGAGAAACCAAGAATCAAACTGACAGAAAAAAAAAAAAGATGTTTTCGGTAGTCAATTCACAGAAAGGAAATAATCTGCCAGTCTGTGGCAAAGTACTCTGAGGTCAATGGAGAAGTGCATCAGCAGTTTGGTGGAAGAAAGATTACATTGATATGTCAGAGCTACGTCTATTCTGTGTGACTGGTGAATTTTGTAGGCAGCATTAGTTTCATTAGTACTGTAGTTTATTTACCAGAGGCTTACTATTCTTTAACTTTATAGCTGCCAGTTGTCAGTGTAAATCTACATATTTCTTAAAATATGAGGAAATATATGAATTTACCTTATTAAGATTTCAGTCTACTGTAGTTCAGATAAAAGATAAAATCAAGAATTCCTGTAATGAGTCAATCTATTTGATTAAATATTGCAAAATATCTGAGGTATTAGTATATGTTTTCCAAAATTTGTTCAGTTCAAAGCTTTGAAATAATATCAGTTCGATAAATGGAATATAATAACACATCTTTGCACTTGGCTAATACATCTCTTGGTCTGTTTATAAAAATAGCCAGTACTCCATGGAGGACACATGCGTTGAGCTGCAGTATCTCCTGTGATCCTTTCATTAACATTACAACTCACCTCAGAAATGCAACATCCCTGAGATCATAAAACTTTTAACTGGGGCACAGTCGTAGTACATAACTGTTAGCTTTGTGTGAGTGAAGTCTGTCTGACAGCATCACCTGATTCAGCCTAAGCAAGTGTCAGACCTCTTCAAGCATGAAAAAAGATGCCTATTTAGAATCTTATGAACATAAATAATACCTTTTTTTTTTCCCTACAGTGTTTGCTCACACCGAATAGAAGATCTTGTAAGACCTTTCATGCTTTAAAATGTTTGACATCACAGACAGAAAATATGATGTTTGTGGGTGAAGTACAGCACCTGTGTAAAATAGTTTGGGTTCTCTTCTTGCAGTAGTATTTCCTTGCTGTCTCTAGCAAAGCACTTAGTCTTTCTGCATCTCCATATTTTTAATACGCACAGTGCATGTTAAAACCAAGTAAACTTTCCAATACCCTTAAGTTTCATGTATCTCCCTGAATTTCTGATTAAATCAGAAATGCTATGAGAAATGTGTGGAATAAAAGTATAATTTTAATGTGTGGCTGCCTAAATACTTGGTTCGGTTGTATTTCTCAGTATCTTGGTGCATGAGAACTTCCAGTTTGTTACCACTGAAGACATTTCTTCTTCTACTCTCTGTGGCGGCAGCACCCAAATAAAGAGCAGTCTTTTACCCTGTATCTCAAAAAAAAAAACAAACACCCCAAAACACAAAAAAACAAACCCCTATTGAGGAGCAGGAGTGCCCTCAGCACTCTGCTTTACAAGTCTTCAGTACTCACGGATGAAGAATGACTTTGAAAATACTCTTAACTCTGAATAAAATGCAAGTAAAGTACATGCAACATTCCTAAAAGACAATACAACTGAAGACACAGGTGAGGAAGGGAAAAGAAAACCATATTTAATGTGCTAACACCTAGGTTAAATCTGAAAGGTGCCTCTCCCTGTACCCAGCTGCTGGCATACACCTCATCAGAGATTCTGTCTCCCTGCATCCCTGTGAGCGCTGGGTTGCGTTCTTCAGAGCAAAGCCTTTCTGAACAGAGCTTCTGCACTGTCTCTCTTTGGAACGCTATCAAGGGGCCACTCAGACTTAATACACCCTCCCTGCAACGCATTCAGGAGATAACTGGCCACTCCCCTACATAAGAGAAACCTTTTCTCGTTTATTCGGGGGGCACGTGACATTTTGTTAGATCAAACTGTTATTCCAGGTGTTGGACTGGTTAAGCGATGCCTGCCTGCTTCAACAGGAGGGAAGTTTCCCCTCTGCTTCCCTTGGGCATTCAGTGGGCATGTTTCAACATTAAGTATCTTCACCCATGGAATTTTACATTTTAGATCTGTCTATGTATAAGCAGGATGGTGGTTGTTCATTTTAGGGTTATACGGGGCTGGGGTACATTGTATTCCTCCTTAGGACTAATAATAATATGCATCAGATGGCTCTTAAAAAAAAATGAACTGATAAAAACTGGAAACAGTCAGCATTGCTTACTAAGCTTACGTGCCATAAAATAATGCCGTCTCTCAGTCTTTGTGTTCTTGGTGTGTTCTGCCAAGGTTAAATAGTTTGTTAAAAAGGAAAAGAAGCTCCAAAATACTCTGGGGATATCAAACCGGTAGAAAAGAAGATGTGCATCCCTTTTTGTTGCTCTGAGCAAGAATGGATTGACTGTTCAATAATAGCCTTTATTCTCTTCTAAAAGATGTTCAAGAGCTGTGGAAACTATTTTTCATAATTGTCTTTTGTTTCCCTTTGCTTGTTTTTATTGGCAGGCTTCTAATTTTTTCATTGGAAAACTGTCAACATTTGTTAATGTAATATTTGAAGCAAACATATAAATAAGAAGTTTGAATAAATGGGCTTAGTAATTATTATTTTTCTTTGGGAGTTTAATTAGAAGTTTATAGCTGAGTTTATACTGGCTATCTGTCTGTAACAGTAGAAATCCAAATAAGGATTATTTTCTTTCTTCGGTAATTTTGAATATTCACAACGACTCTCTGGTATCCTGATGAGAGATTTCTTTCCCTGTTCCCGCTGATTTTGAGGACAGTTGCTACTTTGTCCTGAGGACTGCTGGATCCTTGAATCAAAGCTGTACAGTAAGTTCCTTTGGACTATCTAAATGTGAGTGAGTTTTGTTGGGTGGCAACCTAGAGGGTTCTAGCGGGGTGTCTAGTTTGCCAGTTATCAGGGTGTTCACGTTAGCACAGTAGAGGGTAACTCTGTGTGGGCATCCAGAGCTGACTGCAAGAACGTTTTTGACTAAAAACCAAAACGCAGCCTAAATCATCAGAGATCTGCCTTTTACTTCTGTGCACTTACAGGTCTCAGACACTTCTTAATCTGCTGACACATGGATGTGCTTTCTTACATTTCTCTCTTCAGAGAGACACGTACTCTTCTTTTTCTTTCTGTTGCTGTGCAATTGGTTTAATTTTTCTACAAGCTTTATGTCACGCTTTGTCTTTTTTATTGCATTTCAGTAGGCTCTCACCCTTCCTTAATGACTTCAGGAGAACTAGCAAAAGTTTTCTGTCTTTTATAAATGATGGAACTTAGATGTCGTTGCCTCAGCCTCCTTGGTCTCTGGATAATATTTGTACTTCCTGGTAAACATTATTTTTTTTTTAATTGTAGAAGCAAATATGTTGCATACTTAATGTTTATTAATCCAAAATAAGGGAGCAGAATGGAAAATGAAAATAGAAATACGGAAACCTACCCATAGAAGCCTTGCAGAGAATTTACTTATTCACATTTGTGCCTTAGTTTTTCATTTATATGTAGTCTGACTATTCCACAGAAAGAGGCTGATTATTTACTGTTGAAGTTCCCTGAACTTTTGAGATGGAGGACTTGATGTAAATCCAAAGTGTGTGAGCTGGAGAAGGTGGAGTTGTAAATGGCAGATTAAAACTGAAGATAAATCAGTTGCAGTTGAAGTACATTACAATAAGAGGGCAGTGTATATCCTTTTTCCAGAATGGACAATGCCTTTATTTCTGCACCTGCCTCCTTAATCTAATTGTCTTTCTTCCTAGAAATAAAGTAGTAAAGCAAGTGTCAAAATATTGCTTATAGCATACCTGTGCAGCAAACCTCTATTATTTCTACTGTAGCATAAGGCATCTCTAGCCTCTTGGAACTGCACCTCACTCTCAATGGTTACAGATATTTAAGGAACATGTTTCTATCTTGGCTGAGATACAGCTTCAGTGAATTTGCCTACCCTTGGAATTGAGGATATGGATTTAGCACTTGCATAGCTAGCAACCTGGCACATACTCATAAATCAGGTCATTTTCCATTCAAATGTTAATATTTGCACCAGCAATTCATGTGCAGATGGAGGTATAAATTGTACCCCAAAAATAAAGCCTAGCATTTGAAAATGTGCATTTTAAATGCAAGCAATTATTCTTTACCGTATCCCATCTATCACTGGTCATATACAGGAAAAAAAGGAGAAAAAAATAAAGGGTAAGGGCACTGCAAATTTTTTTAGATCATTCTGAATACTGCAGCAAACAGGTTTAAGTGAACAAGGTAAAAATCTATAATTCTTCGGAGTATTAATATGGTTAGATGCTACTCATGCTCAAACTCTAGATGAAGTTTAGAGCATTTTTTTTACAGAATAATCTTTTTCTGGCTTTTAGAATTGTCTATTCTGTAATATACAATTAGTCTATCTTCTTGGCTTCTTTATTCAGTTTTTGGGAACATACCCAGCACAGATTTAGACATCTGTGTGATTTTTATACAGTGAATATTTCTACTGAAGCCAAAGGGAAATACTAGCATTTTATAAAATAAGGCATATGCATCAACCCCTGCAAGTCTGTGATCTTGATCCCTGAGATGATTTCCAGCTTCAGCTGGATCATTGGTCTCAGCCTGGTCTTTTGCCTTCTATATTTCCCAAATGACTTCCCGTGAATATATTAGGTTTGTTATTTGTGTTATAAACAACTCTGCTGGCTGTTCTCTATCACTGCATTCATAATATAATAGTATTTATTCCAGGGCTCCTTGTCAACATCAGGAATCATGTGCTATCACATCAGAAAGATGACAGATTGTCAGGGGTTTTGCATTGTCATCTTAACCCTGCCACAGATAACGGCTACGGAATTGTGCTCAGCTCCACAGCTGAATCTCTGCAGCTCCATTGTACCTGTGGAGGGCTTCAGCATCTGGGTTTGAGATCAGATGGGCACTACCACAGAGTGTTAATAATCTTATGCATGATGACACAAACACGTATGTACTTTCATCTACGTGCACACAGGCTTCTTCAGTTTGTGTAAAGCTTCAGAGAAGCACGTTATATTAAATAAGTTGATACAGGATGGTTGATTGTCCAGGCTTACGCTGCAGTGACCGCATTTAACAGTTGTTTTATTGGGAGAAAAACTTTGACACCTTATTTATTCATAAGTAAGTTAGAAGCTTCTGTAAGAACCTTCTGGGAAGCTACCTCTGTTTAAAACATGGAGACTGAAGATACCAGGAACATCTTTCCAACAAGTGTGACCTCAACATACTGTGAGAGCGCCGTAAGGTTGTAGTTACATTTGTCAAATACATAAAGGCTATTTGAATTCTCTGGGACCATTATACTTCCATGAATAACAGTTGAAACCAGTGTTTCTCAAACATTTAAAATCAGAGGACCAGCTACATTTTGAAAAGTATATTCCAAAAGGTCAAAGAGCTGCAGGTGATGTTGGCATGTTGACACAGTACTTTCTATTCATAAGCTAAAACTTAAATGTGTCCATTTGTTGCTTGAATTTTTTCCCATTATTTTTCCTTGCTTGTTTGTGGGATTTAGGAAGGGGGGGGAAGAAAAGCTGCTGTTTCTTACCTAAAATACAAACCAAAGCCATACAAGCCAGGCAAGGGATTTGTTTCCCCCTGTTCTGGGATGAACAGTAATGTGTTTTCGGTCTGAGCTGCATTAGGAACCAGATTCTGTGACTCACCAAGTGTCCTCAAATTCTGTTGACAGCAAAGAGAGTTTAGATCTCCCTGCACCTTCCTGTATCCAACCCTAGATTTTTAAGACTCTTTGCAGACCCCAGTATATCCCTCTGTTTGATGACTGCTCCTAATAACTTATAGTACCTGCTACAAGTTTTTAGCAAGTGAGTGAAAGCACTAGAGACTGAAAAAGGATGCTTAAAATCCACCTGTCTTACAGGAATCGTATCCTTTCAGGTGTGAGATAAATGGCAGTTGCAGTGAAACCTTCACAAAAGCTGCAGCTTAATGAGAATCCATCAGGCAGAGCTGCTTACTAACATACAGCTCAAGCCTTTCAAGGAGAAAGGTGGGAATAGACTGCGTAACAGCCATGGTATCAGCCTGTGTCTGGTGGAAGATAAAAAAAGAAAGCCTGAGCACAAGCTTTCTCAGGCTCCACAAGTAAGAAGGCCAACATGCTGGCAGGAAAAATACAACTTGTTCTAATGATTTTGTTCACAAAACCTATTCAGTTAATTTAGCACTGCAAAGAGCTTGCAGCAGCAAGAAAAACAAGCACAGAATGCTTTGAGAATTGTTATTTTACTGAGGCAAAGGCTTTAAGGTTGGATCCTGGTCTTGCTAGAAAAAATAGGCCAGTGTAGCATAATCTGCTTGATATTCTCCATATACTTCAGAAGAATTAAATATTGTTTTCTTGAGAGGGAAAAATCATAATAGCAAAAAAAAAAAAAAAAAAAAACATTTTCATGTAGCAACAATAGCTAAGGATGCAAGCTGATAGACAAATTTCTGCTTTGAATCAATCTTTGTGAAAATGTGTTCAACATTGATATCAGAAAACTTCCTCGATGAAGGCTTTTATTGCTCGGTTCTTCCATCTACTAAGTCATAATCATGATATGCATAATATTTGAAAGTTATAATTGAAAATGTCTTTGGATCATCACTGGTGGCAAAATTTGAGAGCTATCAGATTAATTTAATAATGCCTATAAGGAAGGCATGAAACTACATTAGAGACAATGCTGTGATTACCTCCCTTCCCTTCCCTACAAAAAAGATAAACATTTTTCTGAGTTTCTTTCATGGTAGATTAGGAAATAAATCATCACACATGCTAAATATTTAAGAATGGGACTAAATTAGATCTCTGAAACAGAAGAGGCAAAATACTGTATGGCCAATAGCAGATGTTTTTAAAATTTGGTTTCTTGAAACAAGATAAATGGATAAATGAGTGTGCTTCTTAAGCTTGTTATGCATCTTACTACATTTCCCTTCTGGTAATCTTGGGCTACGATTTTTGAAAATCGGTAGTAATTTGGGCTGTGTCCACTACTTGTGTTTTCAAGCTGAGACATCTCAAAAAACTGATTTAAAAAAAAAAAAAAAAAAAAAAAAATCAGACTATGTGTGATGACTATGGGTTTGTTCTCAACTACTTTTCTCTTCTACTTTTATCTTTCCAGAGAACCCATTCAAAACATATTCCTATGTCAGACAGGGGATCTCTTAAGAAGCTTATTGTCTGATCATGCCTGTAGGACCGCTTCCACCTACCACTCTTCCCCATCTTCCTCCTCTTCCAATTTTTACTGCTTTTTCTGTCTCACGTTGTCTAAAGAAACTAAACTGCTTCTGAAACGTCCCAAATGAGGCCTTCAGACTTGTACATTATTTTGGAATTTACAGACTCAAAATAACGGACTGAAGGGCAAAACCTTCCTAACGGGATGAAGTCCAATGCAAGACTTCTTGCCTTTCTTACATACAGTTTGAAAAGTGATTGAAGATGGTATTCAGCATGGGTATTTCCTCACAGATTTAATAATCTGACAGTTAGTTTTCCTTTTTTTTTTTTTTTTTTTTTTTTTTTTTTTTTTTTTTTTTTTTTTTTTTTTTCTGTAAGCTATCTCCTTTGCTGTAATCTTTTCCAGGCTCAGGTAACCTAACTGTACCCCTGTCTTACCAAAGTCAGTAAATTTGAAAGTCGCTGATTAGCTAGTTTTTTTTGTGGTGTTTTTTTTTTTTCTTTTAAATGAAAAATTAATGATTTCTATCGCTCAGCAGAGCACTATCCTTGAAGCATATCTGCTTTTCAGTGTTT